CCCCGGGGCGGCCCCGGGAGCCTCCGCTGCGATGGGGCTGTGGTGCGTGGAAGACCCCGGGACACGGGGCCGGGGGAGTGGTGGCAGAAGCCTTGATTTAGGGAGAGCTCAGAAAGCAGCAGGGAAGGGGGAGGGGAAGGCGTGTTTCTTGCAAAATTTGGACGCTCCTACAAAGCTCTGGCATGCAGAACGACGGGCTTGGAGAGCAGGGGCTCTCTGTGCTCAGCACCGCCGGTTGCTCTCAGCTGGGGCTCTGCAGCCGTGGGATGGGGGGCAGACCCTCTGCCCACCTGCCGCCCCGGGGGTCCCAGCCATACGCCTGCCCGTGCACTGCCACGCACCATCTGCTGGACCAGGGACCTGTCCAGGCAACCAGGGGCTGGCGACAGCCTGCAAAACCCTCGGATTAAAGCTTCTAGAGTTACCTAGGAACAAGAATGTGCTTCCCAGCCCCGAGAGCGCAGGCAGAAAGATGTCAGAGCACTTTCTCAGTGCCAGTTTTGCCCAAAGAAGATTGGTAGAGTTATCCCCCAAGCGTCAAGAGCTCAGCGGTGTGGAGCCGGGAGTGCCTGCTGCTGGTCCTGCACCGCGATGCTCTCCTACAAGCCTTTCTGAGCTCTGATTCTCACCTCTTGTCTCCAGCTCTGGGATGGGATTATGCCTGAACAACGCTCCTCCCAAGCAAGACTTTATCTACCCGACGGTGGCTCCAGGACAGGCCTACGATGCAGACGAGCAGTGCCGTTTCCAGTACGGAGTTAAATCTCGCCAGTGTAAATACGGGGTAGAGAGCCTTCCTGCTTTACTATCGGTTCCCAGGGGGTGGAGGACGGGGGCCAGAAGGGCAAAGGGGCCGTGGGGCTGTTCCTCTGCTGCTCACATTGCTTTGCTGTCCTGCTTCGAATGAAGGGCGCTGGCACGTTCCCTGTGAGCTTTTTGCCTTGCTTCCCTGTGAGAGGAGAGAGGAGGTCGTTTCCCATCCACACAGGTTGATGCCAGCTCAGTTTTGGTCAGATTATTCCTATGGAAAGAGATCTCTTGTCTTTATCTGATAGCTTGGCTGCTGCTGGACCCCAAGGGTTGCAGCTGGAAGCCAAGCTGTGGTCCTCTCATGGAGACTCCTCTCTCAGTGGGGGTTTGTACACAGACATATTTTTCATTCCTTACTAGAAGTCATTATGCTGCTCGCACAAACTTAGGAGGAGAAACCTGTTTCTTCCATGTGCTGCGGGTCCATGTGCTGTAGGTCCACCTGAGGGACAGCTGCCCACCTGAGCCACTCCCGCCATCATGCTGCCAGCCCCTGATCTTTGAATTGAGGGAACCACTGAAAGGAAAGGTTGCATCAGGAGAAAAGATCTCGGCCTGATGTTTTGCTGTTCTTAACATACCAGATGTTGCCAACTATCTGAGCATGGTGGTGAGGGGGAAGCGTCTGCACTAAAGGGCTAATTAATGCATCCACTTTTCCCTAAAGAAAACAAAGGAGCCAATAGTGAGATATACGGGCAGCTGTGTTGTCTGATGAACACACGTGTATGTGCACCCACCCCGGTCCAAGCCCTGGAAAGTTGTGAAGGAGGAAACGCACCAGATTAAGGCTTAGTTGCTCTTGCAAAAATGTAAATCCAAGCTCAATGCTGCCCTCGAAGCGACCCAATGTGAACCAGTTTATCACTCTGAGTGTTCCTCTGCTTGTTATGGTTAAACGCTAAACCACCTGCTGCTTGGTCTCACCAGCTCATCGTGCTGAACAAAGGGCGAAGCTTGGCTCTCCCTGGTCCAGTGCTGTCTTTTGACATGGCCCGGGGGCCCAGAGCCCACTGGACATGGGACAGATGCAGTCTCGTGAGATGCCCAGAGCCGCAGCAGAAGTCTGGGTCCAAATACCATGGTCATGGTATCTGATGTCAGGTGCTACCGACTGCGGTCTGTGCCCCTCCTCAGCTGAGGCAGTCAGTGGAATGGAAACTTTCCATGTTTACAGGCCTGCTTCCCAGCTAATTTTTAACTTGGGCAGACGCTTCCTGTATATATATACAAGTATCCCAAAAGCACAAGATGTCCTTGCGATGACTCTTCTAGCCCAGCCTGTCTTGCGTGTTGTTTGGGAGAAACCCAAAGGGCGTAAAGGCTCAAGTGTACGCAGATAAATCTGGGTAGATCTGTAAGTCCACCCGTCCCGTGCCCCGCATAAACAGACCCCAGGGTGATCGCGCAAACACGGCAGGATCCCTGCCTCCGTGCCAGTGCAAAGTGGATGATTAATAGATATGATGAGGACAGAGAGAGTGGATGTCACTGGTGGAAACTGGGAAGTCCTCTTCCCTCAGTGACACAGAGAGACGAGACTATACAGGAACTCCTACTTCCCAGTAGTCATGCTGGCTTTCCAAGAGCAGTATGGAGGGGTAGATGCCTTTTGAAGATGGGAGAGACTTTCTCCTTCCCCTGGTTAAAGCCAGCTACAGCTGGGCTTTGGCAAAGGAGTTGGGAAACAAAATCCTTTTGCATCTCGGAGCTGTGGTCCTCGGCACCGACTCAGCAGTATTTTCCTTTGCCAGCTTGCCCTGTGGCACTCTGCTATGGCAGCCCTGGGAACAGGAGGGAAGCACAGAAATCCTGGGCTCATCTTTTCGCCTCTCTTAGTACCAGCACAGAGGATTCCCAGTCGTTGAGTCAGTTTGTGCTGCGGGGGTATCGGTTACTGTTTAGAGCACAGCCCTTGGCCGGGGGGAGGAATGCCTTGCTGGAAGGCTCAACCAAGCCCGGAGATGTGATGAACAGGCTGCTACCTGACTGGAGGTGGGCAGCCGTGGGAGCTATCATGTAGGTCACGCTGCTGTAGGGGCAGGCAGGAGGCCAGGCAGTCACTGTGCTGGCACCGCAGCATGCAGCACGGAGCGGGCCGGGTCCTTCACCCTGTGCTGCGGCATCGGTGTGCACCGACGGCGGCACCAGCGTGTGCTGGGAGAGCATTAGGCTGTTCGGGCTCTGCTGTCACATCTCAAGACAGTTTCCTTCACTGACAATGGGACGCTGTTTAATACTTTCAAGTATAACCGAAGTCACTCTGAAAAGCAGCAAGTTTTCCATAGGCTTGTTTCAGTAGGAATAGGAGCAGGATGGTGACCTGGCAGGAGGCTCAGCTCTGGATTTTAGGTGTTACTTTGCAGTTTGCAGATGTTGAAGTCCAGCCTGGTCGATTTAGTGGCAGAGCAGGTTCAAAGGTCCTGGACTTTCTGATTTAGCAACTGTGACAACTTTGCACAGTCTCTGTTGTGGACCTAACTTTTGGGCGGGTTCTGGAACAGCCAAGGGAAGCTTGTTGTTTGCTGGTGCTCTGAGAAGTCAGGATGGGCTGAAGCTCAGGATCTGTGGCTCAGGAAACCTCCTGGAAAGAGGTCTGGAGTCCTCAGCCCAGTATCAGTCAGTGGACTCAACTGCACCCAGCAGAAATAGAGAGCAGAAGTGTCCACTTCTGGAGCTGCTGAAGGGCTAGCACAGGATCTGGCATTATTTTGATTATTCTGAAAAAGGCTCCAAATCATCCAGAAGAGTCCTTTAGGACTGTGGAGATTGCCAGTACACAAGGTAGTCACACTGTGACCCACAGTGCATGCCTGTAGCAGGAGATGACAGATGTGCCATGTTGATGCTCTTGGGGAGTCCCAGCTTCCCACAGAGGCAGATCCAGATTTGCATGGCAGATCTGGACCCGCGTGGTGTAGGGATGCTCATGGCGGGTTCTAGGAACAGACCCTTGTGCTCTACCTTCGCTGCACAGATCCAAAAAAGAGAACATCCCTCAGCCCTGGGGAGAGGGGTCAGGTGGAGCACAGAGGATTAGCTCGGGACTCATGGGGATGGCCAAGGAGATGTCTCCTTGTGGCACAAAGACCAGCTTTGGCTGTGCGGGCTGCCTGAGCTCTGGCAGTGGAACCTCCAAATCCAGAGAACCCCAGCTCCATGAGAAGTGCTTAGGCTTAGTCCGGAGAAGGGAGTGAGTTGTCCGTGGCCTTGGGGTGACTGCAGCTGGCAACACCTTGCAAGATTTGATCTCATTTTTCCCCCTACCATGCTGAAAACACTCCTGTCCCTGTGTCCCAGCCCAGCTGGTGCTTCTCAAGTGCACCAGCGTGCTGCTGCCCCGGCCTCGCAGCGCCTGGCACAAGCAAATCCTAATCCCAGTTTTGTTTCTTTGTCTCTTTCTTCCTCCCTCCCCCTCTCTCCCCCAAAATCTCTCTCTTTCCAGGAAGTCTGCAGTGAGTTATGGTGTCTGAGTAAAAGCAACCGCTGCATAACCAACAGCATCCCTGCTGCTGAGGGGACCATATGCCAAACCAATACCATTGAAAAGGGGGTAAGGAAGCCCGGGGCACCGTAGCGAGTTGACAGTGAGTGGTTGAATCCCTTTTCCAGCGATAACAGGGATTATTGTTTGCCTTGGTGAGCGCGGAATTGATTTAAGAGCACCCACCAGCCTATCCTCCCTTGCCTCCCAGAGCCTGGAGCCACTCCCACCCTCCCCGCTGGCACACAGGGAGGCTGGGGTGTGCCAAGGAGGTCGGAGGCCCATAACCACCCCAAGTACAGATCATCTTGCATATTGCTGGAAATGCAGAATACAAAGTCCCTGCTTCAGCGAGCTGCTTGGTCTCGCCTAGTAGGCACAGCAAGGTGACCTCAAGCAATGCCATATGTTTTAGAGGAACACCTTGTTCTCAGGTCTGCTGAGGTCTCCTGGCTGAACTCAGAAAAGCGATTTTTGCCCCAGTATCCCCAGAAGGGACAATGAGTTTGTAACATGCTTTCAGAGGAACTCGGGAAAAACTGCCTCACAAGGCTGGGTATGATAACACCTCCATTTTTCATACTCGGCTGAGAGGAAAGGGTAGGATTTTTTCATGACCATATATTTTGAAAGTGAATTTTGACTTGACTGTTCGTATCACTTTGTTCCCTGCACCTCCTACACCCATTCGCGCCCATATAAAGTGGCCTGTAGCACTGTTAAAACAAAGCGTCTTTGCAAATTGAATAATAATTGGGACAATGGAGAATTAGGGCTGGGACATTCTGCATTAAATGGACATGTGGTTTTCCTCTAGAGGAAAAATAATTCCCAAGAAATTCAAGAATAATTTAAAATGCTTAAGAAGCTGAGGAAGCTGATGTGCAGGAAAGAGGATGGCTTTGACAAATGCATTATTCTTTGCAAACAGTCGTCTTAGTTTTGCTGGAAATTAGGTCGAGAAGGAGTAGACAGCTCCTGGGGCTGAACATCCCTGCTGCTGCAGATTCACCACACACAATGGCAATTTTTTTCTACTAGTCATCTTTTTTTTTTACCAGCTTTTCCCACTTTTAAATATCTCTTTTTCCTCCACTTACTAGTTGTTTTTTAACCAAGGTTCTTCAAAAGTCCTAAGAGAAGTGAAGCAACAAGCAGTCGCATCCCGCGAGACTCATGGGAGCTATTCCCAGTGAAGATACTGACTCAGTTTGAACCCCCAGTTACCTTCCTGCGCTTCTGTTTGTCCTTTTATATTAATTCACACTTCAGAAGTGATTTGATGTGCTTGGGTGAAAGAAGATGCACCTTTGTATTAAGTTTCTGCACCTTCACCAGCTGGAGCTCCTGGCTGGTGGTCCCTGCACTCACCAGCTGGGTGAGTCCCTCAGACCTCAGCCCTGGGCTGGAGCAGCTCGCTGAGGTCTGCCCTGGCTTCTCCCTTTCTACCCGGGGAGAGCAGAGGGTAGGATCAGGGTGTAGAAGCTGTTTAAGGTGTGCAAGATGAAAGGAGAGATAGGGTGAGTTTCTGTGCTCTGCCACCCAACTGGGGATGCAGTGGGAAGAGAAAACTGAGCCACACTCTGTTGGGTGGTGGCTGTGCCCACATCCCAGACCTCTAGTTGTTCCCTCCTCCCAGATTCTTTTTTTTTTTTTTTAATTGATTCCCTGTGGTTGTTGTGGCTTCACCTGTCTTACCCCAAGAACTCACAGTGGGTGACTTCAGGCCTGGATCCAGCAGTAGTTTCTTCTGCCTTTGGAGTATCCTCAGCAGCCCAGCTGCTCCAACAGTGGATTCACTGTCTTGCTGGCTCCTTCCCTGCCTGTTCTGGTTTTCTTTTGTCTTTTTTTTTTAAATTTCAATTAGTCAAGCACTTGTTACACAGGTTATGGCCAGCGCACCCTGTGAGGATGCCTTTCAATACGCATCCTTCCTCCCCGCATGCCCCCAATTCATACCTGGTCTTGCAGACGGCACGTGTCCATCCAGGGTCTGCTCCCAGCAGCCAGGGCACAAGGGCGGAGCCCATCACTGATGCTCTCAGGAGCTCTGAGTGCGTGGAGGGGTTTGCAGGGGCTGGTCAGACGCCTGGACCCTGCCTGCAGAAACAGCAGAAACAGCAGCCTCAGTATCTCCAGTCTGGAGCATCAGCAGGGACACTAGAAAGGCTGTACCTGCAGAGCATCTCCTCTGCATGGGATCATACCTTTGGAAGGGCACTGGTGTGCAAGGAGGTGGCTAGCTGAGTGTCCTAGGAGGCCACGGTTCATTTTCCCCTGCTGGCTGTGCTGCCCGTGGAGAGTCTGGCTCAGAAGGAGCCGGGAGAGGCTGTGCCAGCATCTCCAGGGTGGGTTATCAGCCCCTGGAAAGAGCGCACAGAGGTTTCTTCCTTCCTGGGATTATCTCAGCCCCGGAGGCATGGTGTCCGGCATCATGCCCGGAGAACAGCAGCAGGTCTGGCAGTGTCTCACTCCTTGCATCACTGTTGACTCCAGGGGGTGCAGGACGCTTTCCAGGTCTAAGCGAAATATTTCATAGGCAAGAATCCATGAGCATCTGTCACTCAATAGGATGGGGACAGGCGGATTCTTTAGGGATCCTTGGCACAACAATGACACAACAACGTTGTTATTACAATCGAAACTTTATTTTAACCTGCACCCTTTGCAGATTGGGTCATTTTAACACATTAACCACAACTTGAGCTCCCAGTGCACATACAAAACTCACTCCATCCTGGGAGGGAGTAGCTGGCAGTGGAGGGGTCCCAGGTGTTCCCCAGGGATCCTGGTCCTGCTGCCCAGCAGCAGCAGCAGCAGCTCCAGTCCAAGTCCCACCTGGGACTCCTGCTGCATTCTTTTATAGGCAGTGAGGTGCATGATCTGACATGTCCCTGTTCCCGACATGTGTCACCCTGATTGACCCAGGTGCCCAGGACCCCTGTAGAGAAGTGGGGATGTGACCCACTTGCCCACGGCTGCCTGCCCTACAGGATGGTGCACTGGGGGCATTGGTCCCAGCATCCTTGCCAATACCAAGTACACGATGTGCGCACATGGTGACAGTGTTTCTCAGAGGAAAGGGTGTCTGGGGAGAGGCGAATGCCCTCTGCAATGGAGAACTTGGCTCCAAGGCCAGCACAGCTCTGACTTCAGATTTCACAGGACCAAACCACATCCCAGCCTTTAACCAGCTGCTGTGTCGGATGAAGGCTGGGGAGCACTCTGGGAGGAGGAGATCGTGTGCTCAGGGTGTTTAAAGCTCTATCTTTCCCCAGTGGTGCTACAAGAGGGAGTGTGTGCCTTTCGGCACCCGACCGGAGGGCGTGGATGGTGCCTGGGGAGCCTGGTCGTCCTGGGGAGAGTGCAGCAGGACGTGCGGCGGCGGCGTGTCGTCATC